TTTACACATATTATTAAATATGCATTTTGTACCTATTCCTCTCCTTATTTATAATATACTATAATTTATTTATTAATTAATTTATAATAAGGTTGATTATCAAACCAGTGTATATTATTATAATTATAATATTTATGTTTTGTATGTTTGACTATTAATTTAAAATTTAAATATATTAATATTTAGGTTTTGTTTGCTAATAATTTTTTTGAATTCTWACGAAGTTTGGAATAAAGTCAAACTTTCATAAATGTCAGTAAATTATTGAATATAATAGGTAGTGTATTTTTCACAGTTTTACTTTTTAATTTTAATATTATATTGTATTGTAATGATATTATATTACCTATATTCTTAAATAGGTACACTTAATTACAAATAGGTACTTATCATTAAATAGAAGTTCTTAGTATATTCATTTTTTTATACAGTACTCAATTGATAAAAATAAAATGAAAAACAAAATTCAAATAATAAGGGTTATAACCGGTATTAACCAAAACCGAAATTTGATAATTTTGAAAACCGAAAYCAGAACTGAAACCGAAATTTTGAATTTTTGATAACCAAAACCGATAAAATCATAAAGGTTCCAGTCTCTGATTGWTATAAATTTAAAAATATAGTAGGAAGTTCGGCTGTCATATAGTATGCTGTCTACAGGTGAATTTACGAGTATAGTATGCAGTCTACCGCAAATAAATAAATTAAAAATTATATCATAATATTATAATATAATTATTGTAGTAGTAATACCTAGTAAAAAATTAATAATTAAAAATTTGTTTRAAAAAAAAAGCATTATCTTACCTATAATAGTAAACACAATTATGATAAAATAAGCTTAATGAATATAAGAATAAATTTTCTCACCTCAAACTTTGTGATGTTTGACAATTTGACATCCCTTTCTCTTGCAACGTAAAATTCTCCTTTCCTCACCTCTATCCTTACGTAGGTATAAATTAAATTAATTAATTAAAAAACTTGTGGTTGATTGTTCACAATTAATAATTAAATCGAAATCATTTGCCAACACATTGAGTGTATAAAATATAAATTGTGGTGTCGCACAATAAATGACTTACCTACTGAGCTATTGAGCCCATACTTTTACAAAATGTCGAAGGTTATCTGTGTATAAGACAATAAAGATTAAATGTTGACCGGAGAAAAAGATTAGTGTATCTAAAAAATAAATAAACTGAACCCTACATAAAAACCGGCMGGTCGCAGATAGACCGCATCCTACAGCGACCGGTAGACCGCATACTACATGACAGCCGGAATTYCAGTAAGCCAATTTAGCATTTCCTACAATTTTAAGTGGAAACATTCGTAGAAACATTGCTTAAATCGTGCATTTATACGAATTGCATAATAATTTAATACCTGTCTATATCGACTATATCRCGATCGGAAATTTGATATTTATAATCGTTAATCACAAATCAGGTGTTAAATCAGTCTKATCATCTAGTGGTGGTTWCATGAAATATTTCATACTCATTAAGTCTTAACATTACTCTTCGCTTACCATACTGCCTTAAATCATCATAATGATGAAATGTAGTGTAGAACGGGTAGGTACAGTCGTTGACAGCTGCAGCTGATAGATCAACACGACAACGGCGCTTATTAATCGGTTGTAGGTGTAACTGCGGTTTGTTCGGCCCTGCAGCGGCGCTCATCAGTCGCCACAACAGTTTGCTCATTAAAAATGATGACAATGACAATAACGATAAATTAATGTGATACGGAAAATATGATGGAATGTACTGATATATATTTTCTACTCATTCGCGCCATTATATTTACCTTCGATAACAACATTCAAGTACGGAGAACCACTGGTTTTTCGTTATCGCGCCGCAGCGTCAATTTATTCAGCAACTTGCAAAAACAGTAGAGAGTAAAGTTGTGTACACCGCCGGAAAGCAACTCTTATGATATCATAGACGAGAGGCAAATCGTTAAAAGAATTATCGAACTTTTTTAATTCGGGAGACGACTTTACTGTCGTGCATGGCCAACACGACAACGGCGTACGTTAAACTGAAATTTATTGTTTACCWACTACCCGAGATGGAATGAAAGCATACCATACGTCAGGGGTCTCCAAACTAGGGCCCACAGGCCACATTCGGCCCGCGAACAATTCTTCAACGACGCTCGCAAAGGCACGTCTATAAATATGTGTAAT